TGAAGCTTTGGTTTAATATGCTAATTAAGGTGGAAACCTTAATACTTTTTAAATTTCAAGTTTGAGCCCTTTTTTTGGTATATTATTATCCAACTTTATGTTAATTTGTTATAATTTGATTTAATTTTCTTGTGATGTGTTGTTATATACTTATTAATTGACACATATTACCTACGTAGTAGATTGTAATTAAAATTTGCACTAATAAAAAATAAATAATAGATTATGCCATGTACCATAAAACGATATAAGTAGCATATGTTTAAAATTTCCTTTCCCCTATATTGGCAAAGACTAATGCCCCACAATCTTTCTATTGTGGGTTTATGTCTTTTTTTGTGCAAGTTTTATTTTAATTTATCATATATATTTATACACGGAATAAATTAGATATATTTTATAATGTAAATGAAAAAAAGGAGAGAACATATATAACTTCTTTTTTTGAAATACAAAAAGAACATAAAACTAATTTCACATTTTTCACTACAAAGTGATTTGCATTTGATTAGGCACTGATATCCCTTTATTTCTCTACAATTGAGTTGGGCACTAATTTTCCTTTATTTCTTCAATCAATTAATGAACTAAACATTTTAAAGAATATTATGTATTGTGTATTGTGTTGTGGAACTTATGTTAATCCCAGGCTGCACAAACGCTTTGCCTAGTACTTAGCAGCTGCACCACCTGGATCCATTAGTCCAGACCGTGCATGGGAAGGAGCCACAACAGCAGCAGACCCTGCAAAGTTCTTTTCCTCGGTGCAAGGAGCGCCACCACTGCCAGGGATGTAGGTACACCCGTTTTGTCCGGGACCGCGAACTGGTCCCCTTTGCAGAGACTGCAAAGGTAGGAGAATATCATTCTTGAGCCCCCATTGAGCTTGATCATCGTTGTTTAGGACTCTGCAAGCAGCAGTTTCCTGGGGTAGCATGATCTGCATGGCTAATAAGAGGAAAAGCACTGCAGTGAGGGCTGGAAGCTTTTGGAAATGCGTCATTTGTACAGAAGGACAAGTTGTATGTAATCAAGATTGAGATTACAGAAGGGACAATTTATATGTAATCAAGATTTGAGGTTATGAATCTTGCTTGAGATTTGTAGGGTAGCTGTGTCTGTATATATATAGGAGAAATATTACATCCAGGAACCAACCTGCATGACCTTTTTTTGGGCCGACCGAGTGTATAACTTGAATTTTTCAATCTTCAATTCATTTTTGGTATTTTGACTTGAACATTTCAATTTGTAATTAATTTTTAACTTAAATTGAGGTCTATTTGACTCTTTGACACCACCGTGTGACGAAGGATGCTAGAAATTGAACCAGTCTTCAGATCTATCTCTTTGTACTGCATTAATTTCTTTGCCACCCTCAAGTCTCAGATTTACTGCCACGTAAATATGGCTTTGCAAATTAGATTTTAGATTCAAATTTTCATTCAAACCAACCAAAAAAAAAAAAAAAAAAATGTGACCTTTTCTCGGATAATATTTGCCAGATGGCTCGGGCAAGAAATATTACAATGAAAATATTCATTGCATAGTATATTATTTCCCTTATACAACTTATGGCATTTACATCCAGATAATTGAAGTTATATGAAACATAAGATCTATGCGAAAGCATCAATATGACAATATATTTGTCAATATGTGCAATATTAACAGGAAAGAACAAGGAGGATCAACATAGACAACATTGTGGATGAATTCAAGTATCATAAACAGCTGCATTAAGCAGGAGATGTTCGTTGTTTATAATCGAATGGGACACATAACGGCGGTATTGAAATCCAATGGCTCGTTGAACGGTGGCTTTGTGACGAGGAATCTCCAGGTCTTCTTTCTAGGATGGTAGATTTGGCTAAACAGTGTTCCAACCCTTTTCTGCTGTCGAGACCATCGCGTTTCTGTTGAATCTACTCCATTGACAGGAGTCATCACGTGTAACTCTTCATTCAAAACAACAAAACCAAATGAACCACCGTAGACATTCGCTCTTGGTACTCTAGACTCCTTCAGCCAACGGTTTGTATCCATGTTGTATCTGAAACACGGTATGAACATGTTCATATATCTTAGCAAACATAAGATCATATAATTAACCAGAAGAACAGAAAAACACATGAGATCATATCCCTGAGCCCAAAAAAAGATGTAAATCAAGCCAAGAAATGAAGTCTCATTTCATCTTCAGGGACATCGAATAAACAAACAACCATAAACAATCAGTAAAAAGCATTGTGTAATTTCATGTTTCTTGATGCTCTGCATATTACAGCAGTTTCAAAGGAGAATAATATGGGGAAAACAAATTAAGAGGAGCACAATAAATCGTAGATGCTTTATAGCTGTAAGAAACTGGCAGGAAATCGCTGCCCATAACTCCTGCAAAGTAAAACAAACAAGCCTACAGTGTGACAAAAAAAAAATCCATTACTCTTTAGTATCCACTTTCCTCCTTTTGCAAGCAAGTCTTGTTTAAGGAGTTAGAAGCTCACAAATCTATGAAAGGGCAAAACCAGAAGAGCCAATATAACAAATACTGGTCATGGTTCTCAGTTGACTATTCAATTTAGTCCCAAAAGAAAATAAATTTTCAATTTATCCTTCATCTGATACAAAGGAAATAATGCCATTGCTGATATGGGCAAATTCCACCATTAACTTGAACTGAGAAACAAAGAAAAATTATGTCATTCTGATTAAGCAATCAAGCATCCACGTCACAAAATCAGTGGGACAGACTAATACTGTCACTTTTATCCTTTGAGCAAGTGCCACATACTTCATTTTATTTTCTCTAGATCCACTTTCTACTTACTTCCCTTCACTCTCTCTCCAAAAACACCCTCTCTCCCAACCCTTTCTTGTAATATTTACTTCTTATTCTTATGAAATATCACTATCTTCAACTCCTAAAACCAACAATGATCAACCACTAGGAAGAAAATTCCATATTGGTTTCAGCTACTGCAATACTAAGCATCAGAAACAAGGCTAATCCTCTTCCATTAGCATTTTGAACACCCTTCTTCCCTTTTGCTAGCTCCTTTGATATTAATATCAATGCAACTATAGTATAATTTTACAAAGGGTCAAATGACAAGAAAAAGGAAACTGAGTCAAGGACAAAAGAGCTATCAGATATAAAATGTTCAATTCTCTCTATTGATCAGAAAATTGTCGCAATCTCTCAGAAAATTCAAGTAAATACTTAAGCAAAAGAAAATATGAGAAAAGTTGGTGAGTTCAACAACAAATTTAATAAATTTTCCTGATGTTAAAAGTAGCATTGTCTATCTACTATGAAGAAGCTTAGTCAAAAAATAAGGTAACATACACCCTTTCCTTTTATATTTTCATTTCAGGATTATGTTAAATCTGTCCATACCAGCAACAATGTCATGAATAGGCATAACATTAAACATTTTTTCCACATTATGAAGGTCAAAATCCACCCTTTTTTCTTTTTTTCTTTTTTTTTTTTTATGTTAAAAGCCTAAATTCAATATGTTGATTGAGTACATGGACCATGAATGGCATTAAGCTAGCCCACTAACCAACCCCAGCACTAAAAGGAGTGGATATTTCCCTCTGAGTTACAGAGTTCACGCTAACCTAACCTATTTGGTTTTCCAGGATGGTGCATTTGTTTTCCAACATCAAAGACACAGAATTTCTCTAAATTACAAAGTTTCCTCTTGATTTTCGATTCAAGATCATGTTTAAGGCTAACCAGATGAAATTTCTGGGCTAAATTTTGAATTAAAGCTTAAAGAGGACAAAAATAAATTTTTTTTAGCATAGTAACAGCCATATAAACTTTTGACTGTACATCAATTAGGACAGACTAAATTGTTGAAACTCAAACTAGCAAGGTATATTCACTTCATTCATTAATTTATTTAGTTTTCGGCAGTAAACGTGAAAGCACATGATAGGCCTGACACAGAGAACCAACTTCATAAAGATAAAAAAGCAACTAACCATTACTTGAGAAGCAAAGAACAATTAGTAGACAACTAGACATATAAAACACACTTATTTCTTCACAATGTTAAACACGAATCTCCATCAAACATTAACATAAACCGCCATATGGTACTAGTCACTTATCACATGTTAAACGCCACTAACAAAAAAGAGCAGCACAAAGGTCAAGCAAAGAATCCTTGCGCTAAATGCAATTCAATGAAAATTAAAAATAAAATTGGCAATTACCTGAGGATATATTTGTTATCAAGCATGAAAACCGAGGGCCTGCCACCTTCCTCATCATCCACAACCACAATCTTCCCAAACCTAGGCCTCTCCCCTTCTCCCCACATATCGCCAGTCCTCCTCCAATTTCCCCTACCATTCTCCTTCAGCTCCATCACAACCGCATCCCTGCAATATTCATCCATAGGAAACATCCCCGCCACCGTTCTAGACTCCCCATAGCCTCCCATGACCCAGAACTCCTCTTTCTTATCCCCCCTTACTGTAAACCCCACGCAGCCTGCTCTGAACGCCGGTAACCCATTCATCGACACCCACTCATCCCTCCCCACATCATACCTTTCTACCGAACGTATCCTACTTCCCGCAGCCCTAAACATGTTGTGTCGAGACCCACCGCCAGCCACAATGATCTGATCAGTACCAGGGAGTGCGGCGCAAGCGAAGCTCCCGCGCGGGGAAAGCATAGGTGCAAGGCGATCCCACTGGAGGGTCAGGAAATTGTACCGGAAAGCAGAGGACGAAGAGCAGGGCCGATCCAGAGGGAAAGAACGGGTGTCGAAGAGGGACCCACCAAGGACATAAAGGTAAGGACCAAGCGCTATGGAATTGAAGTTGCAGAGGCCATACTCGTTTGGATTACAGGGCAACGGCGGAAGAGGATGCCAGGCCAGGTTTTCCGGGTCAAATAGAAACGGTGAGCAGATGTGCGGGTCCTGAGGGAAGATGCATAGGAGGTGGGAGAGGCGGCGATGGATACGGCGGAGAGAGAACAGGGTTTTAGAAGACAGAAACAGATTCCACGATTTGCGAGTAAGTTTGACGCGGGAGTGGTGGGAGTAAGGCAGCAGGGAGAGGATATGTTCCCCGACGTCGTTCGGGAGGCCCGGAATCAGGATTAGGGTTTCGTCGATTTCCTCCAGTGACGACGACGATGACAGCTGCGAAGGCATTTTCTCTTTTCCCCTCTACACTCAACAATCTCCGGCTGCTACAATCTGAATCAAATCGATCCAATTAATTTCCACTGCCGTGCGTGCCTATACACCGGAGCACGGAAAAAATACCGCCGACGATCTGAATCAATTCCTTCTCTCTGTTTCTAAGCGGAAATTTGAGATGATTATTGCTGTGTCTACAGTTTCTTCTTCTCTACACTACACACAGAAGAAGCACAAGATGCATCACACTTTTGTCGTGATACATGAAAATAAGGAATCTTCTTCTTCTTCCTCCACTGAAATCGGAATTTGCAGACTGTGGTGTGGTTTCTTATCGGACAAGACTCTTCTTCTTCACAGTCTCGGTTGCTGGAATTGGGGAAAGTAAGCGATTTGTCTATGTACTGCAGAGAACAGTTTTCCTACACGTGGAATGGCGGTTGAAGCATTGAATATAATATATATATATATAAAATACCAAAAAAATTATCTCAAAATTACATCTTGTTAATAAATTTTTATTAAAAAAAATTAAATTATGTTTTTTTAAAAATATATATTAAAATAATTTTTTTATTTTTAATTTTTTAAAAGTAAGATAACAACAATAACCCATACATATATATATATATATATTTTTGAGCGTATTCTGTTGTAGGTAACAGAAAATTTTTTTTTTCTTATTATTTCCACACGTTCCGATATAGAGGTCAAAAACTATTAATTAGCTGGATCGCTTTCTGAGTTTCTGTGTTTGTGTGGGTGGTGTTTGAACCTTATAAGATTTTTTTTTAATATTTAAAATATGCATTAATTATTTTTAAGAAAATATATAAATGTATATATTTTAATAAAGTATCTACTGATATTAAAATTATAGTTTCTTCATTTATTTT